ACTAATTTGCCGCGTCCCACAGCCGTTCATCCCAGGTAAACGTCTTGTCTACCTAGACGACAGTATCGTATTTAGGCGTTCAATGGAAGAGTGTAATACGACTTTATGCAGTGTTGGAGGCCCGCAGGGTTGCCGGCCTTACCGCCAACCCCACGAAGGGCCGTTTTTACGGATTGAGATTCGGTTCTTGGGTCACTTACTGACTCCCGGACGAGTTTTACCCCTTCCCGACTGAGTCCAATGCATCCGCGCCTGGCCAATCCCGACCAACCAGACAAAGTTGCGGAGCTTTCTCAGTCTAGTCTCGTACCGTAGACGTTTCATCCGCAATTTTGCCCACCTTGCAAACTCCCTCCAAAAATTCCCCGAAAAGGGCGGAAAGTACATCTTGTCGGATGATTGTGCACGTACCTTCCGCGACCTACGAGTCGCCCTGTGTTCGGTCCACTTACTCTCCCTCCCTAATGTAGATGAAGACATCCCCCGCAGTTCATTTCAGACGCCGGTGCCAGCGGCTACGCCATAGGTGCCGATAAAAATGGGATGGAGCACGCAGTCTGCTTCGCTAGCAGCACCCTCACAAGAAGACAGCGGAATCATTGTGCCTTCCGTAGAGAATTACTAGTGATCGTCGTGTTCCCACGTCAATTCAAACACCTGCTGATTGGCTAACGATTCATACTCCGCACAGATCATTGGACCCAGCAATAGCTACGTTCCTTTAAGGCTCTCATGGATTAACTAGTCCGTTGGCAAAAATTTCTGCAGGACTTCTATCTCGAATGCCACAGACATGGCAATGCGGATGCCCTATCCCGCTTTCCCCTAGCCCACCAACCCCGAAATCAACTTACACCTCGCGGGCCCTAACACAATTGTTGTACCCGAGTCTACACGCCACACCTGACCGTCAGCTCAGGACATGGATCCGGGCATTGTCGTTATATACCACCAACTGAACCAGGGACTATCTAAACTCTCTGAACGGGAGATGAGAGGGTCCATACAAAATGCACGCCTACTGTTGAACCACTGACCCCATCTCACCATCAAAAATGACCTAATGTCCCTTCGCGACCCCACTCCCAATCTGTTGCCCCAAATTGGATTTGGATGTTTAAACGAGTCCCTCCTCAACGATCTCCACACAGCAGTGAACCATTGCGACCAACGCCGCACAGAACTTGCTGCCCGCGCGCGTTTTTGGTGGCCGTACTTATGCTCTTCTATCCTCCACTTTCGTCAGTCCTGCGCCACGTGTGCTTCCTGCAAACCTTCCATTCCTGCTGCTCGAGTCCCAATTCAGTCCGTGACTACCAGTTTCCCTGGTGAACGAGTCGGCTTAGACATCATCGGTCTGCTACCTATTTCGGTCCGTGGATTTGAATACAATTCTTGTCATGGCCGACTACTTCACCAAATGGGTCGTAGCCGTTCCTCCCCGCCTTCGCCAGGACGCCAAATCAGTCACAAGGACTATCAGTCGCACGTGGGTAAGCCGTTAGGATGCTCCTTTATCATTCCATTCAGATTGTGGCAACAATTTTGACTTTCAGCTGTTCAGATATGCGTGTGATATTCCGGAGATTCCCAAAACACGTACGACCCCATACCACCGCGAAGAAAGTGATCCCGCAGAGCGCACCAACTGTAGGACGCATAACCTTCTCCTTGTTTCTTCCAGAGATGGGACGTGGACTCGCCCCTCTGCCTCCTAGCTTATAGAGGACTCGTTCATTCTTCCACAGGATTCGCCCCTCAATACCTAGGGACCGGACGTGATCTGCAACTTCCGGTCGACCTTCCTTAACCCCGAGTTAACCGCTCTCATCGATTTTGCCGCATACCCTCGCGAGGCTATTCGTCAGGCGCAAGGCGCGGCCCGGATCGTCCTAGGGGCACCATGCCTCTATCAAAAGGAGCAGTTTGGACCCCAAAAAGAACTACTTACGCGATGCGCACAAAATGTCCGGTTTTTTGCAACGGTCAGCTATACAAGCAAACTGATGGTGTAGCGATGGGTTACTGCTTGGGCAGTTTCTCCCCAATATCTTCCCTGGGCTAGTTTGAACAAACGAGTCTCAAGGCCACCATCAGTGGTATTGATTTCTACGGTCGGTACCTGGACGATATCTTCTGCCTGACAAGTCCTGACACCGACATCGATGGCCTAGTCCAAAAGTTTAACAGGGAGCGCCCCTCGCTGAAATTTTCTACAGAGATTCAGGCGAATAAGGAGGCATGATCGCTGGAACAAGTGCTCTATTAGCCTGATTTTTCGGATTCTCACTCGAATTCATCATCAGAGACCGAGTCAGATGAGGGTAGTGGATTGCCGAGGTGTTGCGACATTTATAGGATGCAGTTACTAGGCCGCTACATGCCTGTCGCAGTTGGCAGCTCCCGAGTGCATCACAGCTCGACTGGCTAGGTGTTGAAGTACGCTGTTGTCATGCAGTAGCTATGCTCTCGCATGCCCGTTAAGATTATCGGCTCACGAGAATAGCGAAATCGCGTTCCTCGATGTGCTTCTCCACAGACGAGAGGATGAGTCTATCCAACACAAGGTATTCCGAAGGAGAATCTGGACGAGACAATACACTAATTTTCACAGTTTTTTCCCCTAAACCTAAAACGAAATTCTGTCCAGGGATTGGTGGCTAGAGTACGTCGCATCTGCTCTCCTGAAACGGTTGAAGTAGAACTCCAGCAGTTGCAAAACACGCTCCGCGAAAACGGCTATCTAGAGAGATTCATCCTCCGGAAGATTAGAGAGCGTGCCACAAAACCTGCCGCTGCAACTGCAGAGAAGAAAGAATTGTTTCTAAGACTGCCTCTTCTGGGAGATGCAGCAAACGAATTAGTGAGACGACGTTTATGGAGGGGTATCACGAATGCCTTCCCCGCGGCAAACCTGTGCGTATCCTTCGCAAACTCCCCTCCTACGACTGGGGAGTAAAGACCGACTGCCGTTGCAGGCCACATCGATCTGTACTTATTCATTCACTTGCTCCTGTGGAGCGGGATACATTGGCTGTAAAACAAGGCGTCTGCAAGACGGGTAAGCGAACACGTGCCTGCCTGGCTAGGCAGGGGCAAAATCCATCGACTTGGAGTTCGATTCTCGAGCATCTAATAGATACGAACCACCAAGTCCACGTCAAAGAAGCTTTTCAAGTTGTCTACCAGACACCAGCGCACCACTCTAAAGGCCTACTCAAGGTGGTAGTGACTATCCGGTTAGTGAATCCAGTGCCCTGTTGACGTTGATACAAGCAGTCTGTATTCTCTGGCTGACTCCAGGTGCTGATCGCACGCCGTCCCAACCCCCTGAAAACAGTCACACGCACTCCGCGCGTTTGACATACAGACAGTCCTCACACCTCACCCCCCCCCTCCCCCTCCCCCAGCTCCAACGTCCTCAGCATGCTGGCTTTGTCGTGCACGCGGCGTGGGAACAACGAGTGTGACTGACCGCTACCCCTGGCACACAAACCCAGACCCATAGCTCAACTGTTCATTCTCCATGTAGTTTTAGCGGTCTGTTGATGAACTGCCGAAAGCATTTGTTTGACTTTGATCGTCTTTTCAATCCTAGCATGGGAATTTTCGCAGGTGCGTTGATTAACTGGGTCTACTGCAACGGGCCGCGCGCGAGTTTCTCTGGACCAACTCCGCGGCCGGATTAGGCCCCGCACGCGTTATTCGGGCTGTGGACCCCCATGAGAATGTGAGAGGTGAGAAGATGCCACTGAGCTTGTCCATCAGTCCCTGAACCAGTCACCCACCAACTCACGCACACATTACTGGCCACAAAGACCGACTTAGCCTCTCCGTTGGCAGCCTTCCAAGTCACGACTTTTAGCGTGTCCTGATAGATCCTACAGCGCCAGATTTATTCCAGTGTGGAATGCGCTGAAGGAGACCATGGAGACGGAGCTCCTCCAGTCGAGGTCATTCTCTCGTCCCTCTACCGTGCACCAATCGATTATTCGAGTTAGTCAGTCCTATGACCTTGAGATTGGGCGCAAGTGACTGGCCCGGCGTGGGGTCTGCGCCTAGGCCTGCCACCACACCGACTCCTCCCATGTGTGGTACTTGTTATGGAATGTGAGGACTCCGGGCCGCCTACTTAAAGCGTGTCATGCGGTCCGTTTTGATGGTACACCCCGCAGTCGCACAGTAGGACATGACCGATCTACGTAAGGAGGAATTTGGTCTATTGAGGCTAGCTAATGCGTGCTAGCCGGGATGTCTGCTTTCACCAACTCACAAGGCCGCGAGCTTCTGATTGGGTGATCTTGGTGGACGCGTTCGTAGTTCATCTGCCCAATGCGTTGGCCCTATTGCGAAGGCGCAAAGCTGGCGAAACACCTCTCTGGTCTTGTAACCAGTACCCGTGGCGGGGGCATGACAATCCAATGTGTGCTTTTACGCTATTGGCCACCCGTTAGTAGCATATTCATATTACGCGGTTAGTCGGCTAAAACTGATGCATTTCAGTACAGAAGCTTGACTCGCCTTTCTGACCGAAGGTGAAAAGGTTTGTACCGAAGAATATACTCAAGGGTCGCACACAAATTTCCGAGTAACTGAAGAAGGTTAAACATAGCACTGTTGAGAACTTAAACACAGAATTTCTTCCGTTCACAAAAGCACCCACTCATTACTGTCCTTAATTTACTATTGTTCAGACGTAATCTTCTAGGACTTGACGGACAGAATTTCCACCAAGCTTCAGACATTTACAACCATCAATTGTACTGATTACTAGAAAATACACAAGCATACAAGTAACAATATATTTTAGATTATTTCGGTGTTATTGATTTTTTGCTCAAAATGCTCTTGAAAGACTAGCTTATATATGTATATATCTCCTGCTGACAGCCGTTTGTGTAGGAGGGAGTTATATTCTGCTTTCGCAATGCACAAGCTCGTGTGGTTGAATTCATGGTTTCTCCAGATCGGACGGCAAGCTGATTACTGTGTGTCTAACTTTACAGACATTTACGGTGGACAATAGAGGATCCGTATTCCATATACTCTTTTTGCGTTATCCACATGCGGTTGAAGCTTGAAAGCGAGGTAAGAATGGACCCACCTATCCACACAGAGTACTTCCTCTCCGGCGGTGCTACTACTTTGGCTGGCACTTTCGACCCGAAAAGGTGATTGACCTCATTCTGCAGTCTATCCACTAAACCGGGAAAGAGAGTTGAGCCTCCTGAAAGCAGAATGTTCCCCATAAGGTCACGTCGAATGTCAATATCACACTTCTTCACGGACTGCAGAATGGTCTGATGCAAGCCCCGACCCTCGATGCCCAACAGGGACGGCTTCAGAAGGGCCTCAGGGCAGAGAAACCGTTCCTTGCCCACGGTAATGACCTGACCGTCTGGCAAGACGAAGTTCTTCTCCGTGGCGGCACCCCTCTCTGCGGCCTTCATCTCCGCTTCGTAGTCCACTGCCACGTAGCAGAGCTTCTCCTTGATCTCCCGCACGTTTTCATGCTCTGCTGTACTGACGAAGGCATGGCCACGTTCTGCGAGGAGTTTGACCAGGAAGTCAGTGAGGTCACGGCCCGCCAGGTCGCTTCGGAGGACGGCGCTGGGTACGCAATAGCCCTCGTAGACGGGAACGGTGTGAGTCACCCCGTCGCCGCAGTCCAGCACCATGCCACTTGTTCGTCCAGAGGCGTATACTGACAGGATGGCCTGCATAGCGACGTAGGCGGAGGGGCAGTGGAACTTCTCCAACATCGTCTCCAGCATTATTTCTCGATTGCGCTTCGGGTTGAGTGGTGGTTCCGTCAGCAGAACTGGATGTTCTTCCGGCAGGGCCCGCAAGCCGTCGTAAAAGACGTGGCTCCAGACGAGCTCCATGTCATCCCAATTGATCACCACACCGTGCTCGATGGGATACCGAATGGAGAGGATACCGCGACGGGAGAGGGCTTCTTTGCCGACAAAGAGCTGGTCTCTAACACCGACTAGGACGGCCTGTTGGCGGGGACGTCCGACGATGGAGGGCACGACTACGCTGGGCTCATCAATGCCTGCGAAACCAGCTTTACACACGCCGGAACCGTTGTCGAGGACAATGGGTACAAGGGTATTGCTGTAGTCTGACATGCTGCGTGTAGACTGCTAGACTGACATGCTGTGTGCTCAGAGGAAAATATAAACTCTAACGGCAATATCTGCTAATTGAATGACAGTTTCCTGCCGAAGTGTGCATGCGTAGACGAACACGCGCACCGTGCATGCATTTCCAGTGACGCAATTTGGTCCCCAGCGCTCTCATCCAAATTCGCCGTAGTAGATCCACGCGCAAACAGAGACGCCCTCATTCCGCACTAGTCAGCGCTGCGTCGGCGTTGCGGGCTCCATCCCTCGCCAGGTGACTGTGACGGGGGCAGTCCAAATGAGTCAATGGCAAGAAGGACACAACCCGAGCTCTCTCTCCCTCTCTCTCTCCGGGACCTTGTCTGAGCACAGCGGATTACTGACTCGCATAACTGTCATCTAGCTGAGAGTGGTGCGGGGGGGAGGCGGTACGGCCTTCTATGCGCGTCGAGGGTGATTAAGCATGTACTTCCGCGATTTGTTTTTGTCGGAGGGGAATCAGAGGTAGAAGACTGCGCCTTTTCTCCCGTATTAATTTGCGAAAAGAGGCTCAAACTCGACATGACGTGAACGGAGAGGAACGTATCAAACGTTCTGCCTTATACGACGCTCAAATGCTGCTTCGGGTGAATGGCGCTTTCAGCTTGTGGGCAGGGGCGCATTCCTTTGTTCTGACTTCTGCAGACAAAGTCGTCTAAATCTCCTCAATGCGCGGTCGTCCTTTGGTCGGATTAGCAACCGTCTGGCACGCTTCAGCTCGCTGATCTTAGCTTCAGACAGTGCTAAATTATCTGTTTATTATAGTTCCTGAGCAGTGTCTTCTCAGTTGAACCTTTCCAGTCAAAGCTTTCCATTCAAATGAGTGCTCATCAGAGGTGACCGTAATGCTCATTATGAAAATATTTGCAGTTGCCTGTAGGAAACACCCCAACTAAGAGGTAAACTCGTGTTTAGTGGGTCACTAATGATCTGAACTAAACACTCTAACGCTTGAGTCACGGGTTTGAGCCCCAGTGGCTCTGATTTAGAATATTCAGATCATCTTATTAGAACAGCCGGAGCTCAGTTCAGTTCAGTTTTATTGAGGGAAATGAAGGTCTTCACCTTTGAACTCCCTATTTGTTTATAAGCAACAGCAAAATCTCAAAAACTGGAAAGAGGTATCATAAAGGTTACAAATAATCAGAAAAGCGTCAGCTCTGTACAGACAACCACACTGTCTCGAATGTTAGTGGTACGAGCAGTTGTACAGCGGTCGTTTCGAGTGCAGGGTAATAAATGATATACCCGGTGACAAACGTTGCATAGGTGCATGTCAGTAAGCGTAGGCGATGGAATGGAGACAATAAGAAATCCAATTTAACATGTTACTGAAATATAGCAAGTAGTATCATAACAACGGTATTTTTCAAGGTTACAGGGCTAACATTTATGATAAAGATTGCCCAGCGAGGTCTCTGATATCCACACAGTTAATTTCAAGACAAGGAGATGTTTGAAAAGTCATTTTGGCTAACACGTGTTCTCGAAAACTCATCCGTTGCATAGAATTGAAAATATAAAAAGTTTACAAGGTTCACAAGCGACTCCGGGGCCACCCACATGACGAGGTCGGCGTGTTATGATCTTTGGGGTAAGGCGGTGACATAGGCTGTGAGTGGTGTTTGCAAGTCGGGTACGTGGAGTACACATCACTGTCCTCAGGAGGTTGGGGCCACGTGCAATCGTCATCTGGGGTCGGCGTTGACCACGGAAGACAGAGCGCCTGTGTCAACGTCTTCTGACAACAAAGCACTAGATTTGCAAGCCGTATAGCCATGACCTCACTGTCGCTAACACTCGTTGGTGTAGGCCTCTGGAGAAGTTTGCTGGTGTCCGGTAGATAATTGCAATTTTTACGTAACTGTATTGGCCTGAGGACGAATTACCGAAAGCACATGTTTGCCAGATTGCTTCTTAACGTGTGACGTGAGAATATTCGTAGAAAGGGATGTTTGTTGAAGCTACTTAATGCCTGCTAGGAAACTGGCTTATTTGTCGTTTCTATAGCGGCCCGGGTCAATCATTTAGGCACTACATTGAGAAAGAGAACGTGAATTTTGAATTTGCGTTTACTTCAGGCGATCAATATTGCAGGTGGCGATGCCAAAATTTCCAAAGACACAGTCGAATCAGTGTACCAGTTGGTAACGTGGACGAATCTGCATGTAGGACGGAAGAGAAGTGTTCCGTTTTATCTTGGAGCTGTCGTCTGGAGTTCTCTCAGATAGTCGCACAGGAACGATTAGAAGACGGCAGAAGCTGAGGCAGCTCTTTTCTTATCTTTCCGCCTTTCCCACCCAAATACGCACATGTGGAGTCCGGGCTTGAAAGATGGCTGAACTTGGACGACTTCCAAGCCAAAAATAGTCATCCCAGTCTTCTTGTCTTTGTTGGTACCAACTCGCACTCCATAAGTAGTGTCTGTCGATAAGATGGAGCAGGAAGTAATGCTGGAAACGGTTGTGCTGAGAAATGGGAGTAGGGTTAACCGGCCGGCAAGGGCGACTTTAACGAACCGTGTTTTGCTCGGGGAACTGCAAGAAAACTTCGTGAGACAAGTCGCCGCTTGATACCGGCTGCTCTTCTAATGCTATATTTTATATTTAGCAGGTATATGTCAGATTAATTATTATCAGATCTCTACATTAATATACGCCTTGGCAGGGCGTAGATCTGCATGAACGAGCTTAAGGGCAAGCCGTAATAAGTCTCCTTAAGGTAACAGGAAATAAAAGAGGAGGGAAAGCTTGTGAGTAGCAGAGGCAGGGGGTCGGGGAGAGGTCGAGATGCTCATTAGAGGGCGACGACGCACTGTCTCAACTGTTGTGACGCCATGTTTAGCGGTTGATCTGTCGTCTGACCTGGTGGTGCGGTCGAAGTCCGTTTTCGACCATGGCGGCTGCAGGAACAGAACAAGCGCCTTACCGTATGCGTTGACGAGGCACCCTCGCTTTGTACGTGACGCCCAGCACAGGACTCTGAAAGCCTACTTAGTATGCTTTAGAGCACTAGCTCACACTTGATGGCTCAAAAGTTGTCAAAGTTGGTCAAAAGTGTAGAATGCGTCGCAAAGGGAATGGTTACAAAAATGTGTGTAAGCATAGGAGGCAATACGTAAACAGTTGCAATGGATGCACAGTGCAGAGGTCGAAGTATGTAACCCTCTGTCGAGGTGCCGGACTAACTTTCCTTTAACTGTCTGGTTCCTCTTCTTTAACTGTACTGTCTCGGTGAACGGACAATCCTTTAGGGGTTTACCGCGTGCCGTGTGCGGGTGTGTGATCAGTCCTTTGATTATTCATCTCTGCTTATTCATCCTGACTCTTCCTGTCGGGGCTTGCTGATAGCGCCTTTCGCGTTCTCAACAACAGTGTTAACATGAGAGACATATCGAAATAGTTACCATGGCTGCATACTGCGGAGTGAGCCGCCCGTTCCAGTCTTCAGTTAAAAGAAATTTTGCCCCTAAAACGGGCAACGCGGTAAATTCGCTGGTCCTACATGTGGGCTGGATCGGAGTCTAGGAGACGTTATCAGGAATGTGCACCCTTGAAAAATGCCAGTATTGGGGGTGTAATGGTACGCACAGTTGCTAGCTCACGTCGCGCCAAATGGGATCTGTGCCGCTCCTATTTTTGTTGGGGTAAGTTTTGGGTTTTCGGTCAGGGGTTTGGCGGTACGTCTAGGTGCGGTTTACGCTGTGCCAGACGCCTGTGTCCCTTCCAACCTCCTGTCTTCTTGACTGTGTTTTGATACCGGATCAAGGTGGGGGAAGAGGAGGAGAGGTAGAGTAGATGCTTCCCAGGTCTACTATCATCATAAAAGAAATCACATGCAAGCCCCCGTCCCTGTTCACACGCTGCTGTGGAGCATTCGGGGAACATCGTCGACAATGACGGTGGAACTGTCGTGTGGTTAGGGCTGGACTGCTGGTGTAAATACCGCCAAGTTTGGCTCCAGGATATGCAAATGATTGCACAACACAACTCGACAATCCTTTTTCAGAGTTCACAGAGAGTGAGAGTTTTTCAAGCGATCTTTCCTGATGCAAAAAAGTACTTCTCGTGTAAATGGCCCCGATTCTAGCTGCACGTGGGATTACCAACATTTCGGACAACGCAAATTTCCAGGAAGACAGGATTAGTTGACGTCAACGAACTTTTCGGCGGTCTTGTCATTATGTTATTAGCGACAGAAATAAGGGAGACTGGAATGGCCATTTCTGGCTTATTAGCCGTCGTCAGCCAGTCATACCCAACCCCGAAGCGTGGAACACCCAAGGCTCGAACTCGCGACCTGCTAGGTAGAAGTCCACGCCTCTAACCACTGGGCTACGAGCCCGTTGCCCTGTCGGTTTCGATCGGGAATATACAATGGTGGGGGCGTTCACTGATCGTTCTTACGGAAGTCACTCGTTCCGTTGATGTAGGCAGTATGTTATTGCTAACTGCGAGTGTTGACTATGACTTGTGTGCTGACCTGACGAGAGTGAAGCTGACTTGCTCGGTTCCTAACCTTATCTCCGTTTTCACTCCAAAGATATTTAAAAGAAGCAGTGAACTTGCTGGTTATGTAGTGATTCTACTCCGAGCCCCTGCTGTCGCAACGCGAATGTCTACACTTGCGCATCAGGGCCGTCTGGTGTTCGGCCACTCGGCCTTCCAACTGACTAATCAAATTCAAGGCTGAGTCAGGACGCTTTGACGCACAGTGGGGACGCCGTTCTCCCCCCCCCCGCGCCAGAGGCACTCTTCGCTGGCTGCCAACCCCTTCCGGTCCATTCTCCAATTGTTATGTACGAAATGAATAATCCTCCCAACCGATGTCCATCATCTCTCTCCATTCGGGATCGAGCCTGAGAGTCGTGGTATCCGGGGTCTCACTCTCGGCTTAGGCTGTTGCGATAGTCCGTATCAGTATGTATCAGTGTATTTCAGGGAAAGTAGGTGTGTACCTTTTGTTGG